TTCTATTGAATTTTTTATGATTTAAAAATTTAAAAAAAAAATAGCTAATATCTTTTAGAAGAAACATTCAAATAAATTCTTCGAAATTTTCTATATTTATAACTTTACAAACTACTTCTTTATTCAAATTTATTATTATTTCTTTTATAACTAATACTTTTTCAGCTACAAAATAACCAACCACAAAGACTGAATTGAAAAAAACGATGCACAGTGGTATAGGAAAAAAAAAGAGGGAAATAATTCGGTAACTTCTAAACGGTTAATCCGATTTTAATGAAATTTGGTGTGCACAAAGAGGAGGTGTTGTCGAGTTTAGGTTTTGAATTTGGACCTTATAGGCCAACCAGGGGCCCGGCGGGGGGTCCTCAAATTAGGACACCTCGGCTATGTTAAATTTTTAAAACGATCCTATTTCTTCATTTGAGTTCCGATTTAAAAAAAATTTCGTATATAGAATCTCCTCATCGAGCACTATAAAAAATGTCGTCGTAGCAGTAAATTATCTCTTATAGTTTAGGAGATATTCGCATTTGAATATTAAAATTTTAAAATTTTTACCGTCCTTACTTTAGTTTTTTTGATAATAGCAGGTCCAAATATTTCCGATTTTCGCCATTTTTTTTTATTTGCTTAACAACAAGTTTATATACCAAGCAGTGAAAGAATTATGTAAAAATCATGACTGAGTCCAAAGTTATAGGCATTTAAATTTAAAAAATTAAAAAAAGGCGATTTTTTGTCATTTTTTTGGGAAAAAAGTATCTTTTTCTTTTTAAGTTATCTAAAAAGTTTCTAAGAAGATGTATATAGAATTTATACTTTTTGGAAAGCTGACTTTACATAAAATACGATAAATGAAACAAAACCTAAAAATTTTTGATACCGAGGGGACCAGGTCCATCCAAAAAAACCCTATTTTTTATGGAAAATTAAATTTTGAGCAAAAATTCTCAAATCGCATAGTCGATATCAAATTATAGTGACCTGTTTTATATGACCCAATAAGTTCTTAATCATTTTGTAACGGGTTTCGATAACCCCGCCCCTGGTATGGATATAATAGGCAAAAAACCAAAAAATCCCATTTTTGGGATTTTTTAAAACTTTTTTGGGAATTCCGGGATTTCTAATAAGAAAATTCGAAATTTTTATTTAATTTTGGATTTTGAGTAAAAAAATCTACCTAACTGTAAAATTTCATCAAAAAATATTCATAAATAAAATTTTTATTGCAATTTGAAAAATTTGTATCTTCGCAAAAACTGAATAAAAAACATTTTTTAATTTTTTTTAAAAAAAGTATTCCGCGAATTTTTTAATTTTCAAAAATTATATACAGTTTTGAAAAATAGACAAAATTACCTTTCCATTGATATATAACATGCCTACCTAATGTTTTTTAAGTGACAAATTAATTAGGGAAAACTCAACATCTTTTAGAAAATTTACCTAGCACTATTATTTTCATCCATATACATATGTAACAAATTTAAGAGTTAACCTTATGGATGAAAATAATAGTGCTAGGCAAATTTTCTAAAAGATGTTGAGTTTTCCCTAATTAATTTGTCACTTAAAAAACATTAGGTAGGCATGTTATATATCAATGGAAAGGTAATTTTGTCTATTTTTCAAAACTGTATATAATTTTTGAAAATTAAAAAATTCGCGGAATACTTTTTTTAAAAAAAATTAAAAAATGTTTTTTATTCAGTTTTTGCGAAGATACAAATTTTTCAAATTGCAATAAAAATTTTATTTATGAATATTTTTTGATGAAATTTTACAGTTAGGTAGATTTTTTTACTCAAAATCCAAAATTAAATAAAAATTTCGAATTTTCTTATTAGAAATCCCGGAATTCCCAAAAAAGTTTTAAAAAATCCCAAAAATGGGATTTTTTGGTTTTTTGCCTATTATATCCATACCAGGGGCGGGGTTATCGAAACCCGTTACAAAATGATTAAGAACTTATTGGGTCATATAAAACAGGTCACTATAATTTGATATCGACTATGCGATTTGAGAATTTTTGCTCAAAATTTAATTTTCCATAAAAAATAGGGTTTTTTTGGATGGACCTGGTCCCCTCGGTATCAAAAATTTTTAGGTTTTGTTTCATTTATCGTATTTTATGTAAAGTCAGCTTTCCAAAAAGTATAAATTCTATATACATCTTCTTAGAAACTTTTTAGATAACTTAAAAAGAAAAAGATACTTTTTTCCCAAAAAAATGTCAAAAAATCGCCTTTTTTAATTTTTTAAATTTAAATGCCTATAACTTTGGACTCAGTCATGATTTTTACATAATTCTTTCACTGCTTGGTATATAAACTTGTTGTTAAGCAAATAAAAAAAAATGGCGAAAATCGGAAATATTTGGACCTGCTATTATCAAAAAAACTAAAGTAAGGACGGTAAAAATTTTAAAATTTTAATATTCAAATGCGAATATCTCCTAAACTATAAGAGATAATTTACTGCTACGACGACATTTTTTATAGTGCTCGATGAGGAGATTCTATATACGAAATTTTTTTTAAATCGGAACTCAAATGAAGAAATAGGATCGTTTTAAAAATTTAACATAGCCGAGGTGTCCTAATTTGAGGACCCCCCGCCGGGCCCCTGGTTGGCCTATAAGGTCCAAATTCAAAACCTAAACTCGACAACACCTCCTCTTTGTGCACACCAAATTTCATTAAAATCGGATTAACTGTTTAGAAGTTACCGAATTATTTCCCTCTTTTTTTTTTCCTATACCACTGTGCGATGGAGCCTATAATTCAAAACTACAATTTCATTTGATGGCTGTATAATTTATAAACAAAAATATTTTTGAAATCCTTAACGAACTAAGTATAAAGGCAAAACTTTTATACAGTTTATATTTTTTTAAGAAAAATTGAAGATTTAATGGTTTTTATTGTTGTTTTAATGGCAGTTTTATGATTTTGTTTTTCTCAACCAGTAAGAAAAACCACTTTTAACTTTCAGCTGTAATTTTTTTTTTCGTCTACCAGGCAATCAAAAGCAGCAAGCAATTCATTCATATAGCCAACCTCTTTTTATCCTTCAATGTACTTATTTGAATTGAAAACTTAAAAAGAAAATAATTCTTGCTTTTTGGGATGTACGTGTGTATATGTGAATTTCGAAGGTGCTTGTATAAATATAACCAATTGGTTGGTTGGATGATGGGTAGATGGCTTGTTTTCCTTCAATTACTCGTAAACTGCCGCAATTACAAACAAATTATGGTTTAAAGTGTTCATTACAACAATATTTTGCAGATATTTAAAGGTATTAACTTTTCAACAATGCAAAGGATGACAACTCCAAGAGCATTCCTTCACCAGAACTGCAGCTTTTCCAAATATCGGAACATATAAACTGCTGCAATTACAAAGTCCCCTTCAGAAAATGACTTTAATGCTCATAAATTGCTACAAAATTCAGATATAGCAATGAAATTCGATATAAACTGGTTCTATATTCGGCTGCAACGAATCATCTAAGTACACCCTTACCATAGAGTGTTAAAAAAACAGTCAAAATTTATTTTATTGCAACAAAAAATACCAAAAATTGTCATTCAGTCAGTATTCTATATGTATGGTTTTCTAAAGGACTCTAAAGGAGTCTTTTATGAGTTTCTTTTCTAATCAGTTTCGACTTATTTTAGATTAGTAGTTACAAATCATTTTTGAGCCATTTTTAAGTGTAATTGTTGTTGTACCATTACAAACAAAAACAATTACATAAAAGATCGAAAAGGTACCAAAAATAGTTCTTGGGCACCGCGGGCCCTGTTAGTATATATAATTTTTCAAATTTAAACACTAATTATACCCTACACCACTATAGTGGGGAGGGTATTATGCGTTTGTGCTGATATTTATCGGCTCAGAATAACTTTTTGAGTCGATTAAGCTATGGCCGTCCGTGTGTCCATGTAACCTTGTGCGCACTCTACGCAATTTTAAAGATAATATAATGAAAAATTTAGCACATAGTATTCTTTTGACCCAAGGACGAAGCGTATTGAAAATGGTTGAAATGGGTCCATTATTTCACCCAGCTTTATTGTTGGAGTAAAAATCCATATTTTTAACACACTCACTGGCGTAGGTTATCATATGGTCGACCATGTTCGACTATACATTCTTACTTGTCTTTTTTAAATTTTTTTATTTTTTCCCATACTCAATTTTCCATCACTGATTTTGGCAATAACAAAACCAACTCACATCTTTTTACGTAACGTGTTCTTACCCCAGGTAGCATTTGGAAGATTGTTGGATGATTAATCAGTAAACTGACTAATTTTTGACTCCTTTTGATGACCTAAACGTGATTAATAAGTTGAGCGCTTAAAAAATGATTCGAAAATGATCCCGATATATGATTGAAAACTGATTATTTGAAAAACAATAACAAAATGTATAGCAATCATAAATTGATCATCCTGGTGTTTAAAATATGTGTACGATGAAGAGCTTTTTCTTCACCGGCAACGATATAGAGCAATTCGGTCTACTTTGAATTGTTGTCTATAGGTTGCTGAAATATTTGATGGGCAGTGATTAATTAACAAACACAAAAGAACTACCGTGGTACCGAGACAAGAATAAAAGATGATGTTGTTCGATTGAATTCAACTATGACAATGATTTATTTATTTAAAAAATTCTTTTCTTAAGCCTAACAATTGATCATGTAAATAAGGGCTACACTGTTGTTATTGTAATATTATTTGTTTCTCACTTCCAATGTACCAACTCAACTTGTTTATTTATATTCAAAATATGCAAAAACAAAATACATGCAATAAGTCTCCAAAATAAGAAATTGCATTTTTAAGAGCAACAACAATATGCTTATAATAAGAATTGTTGTGAGAAACAAATAATAAAAACTAACGGGTCATTACCAAAAATATGTACAGTGGTTAGTATGAACAAAAAATAATGACAAATTACAGTGGCAGCAGTGAGCCAAAAATATGAATAAATTTAAATACAATAAAAAATGGAAAATTTAAACAAAACAAAATAATAATGTTAGTAATTATTATACGGTGACCTAACATTCCGGCCCCATTGAAAGGACACTTTCAAGAAGATAGAAGAGCCAGTCTGTGGATAGGGCGACGTATAACTCCTTTTGTAGTTTTGATGTCGACAACTCGAACACGATCATCTCTTCCACGAACAATGTTGATGATTTTACCCATGAGCCAACGCTGCGGGGGTAAATTATCTTCTTTGATGATGACTAGGGAACCAGGGGTAATATTAGAGTTGGTGCTAGTCCATTTGATGCGAGTCTGGAGCTCATTTATATAATCATGGGACCACTTTTTCCAGAATTGTTGCTTGATGGCGCTTATTCGGGCCCAATATTCAAGTTTGTTAATCTCATTTGTAGGGACATCACGTTCTGGCAAACTACGGAGGGGAGCGCCTATCAAGAAGTGTCCTGGTGTAAGAGCTTCAAAATCACTGGGATCTGAGGATAGAGGCGAAATGGGCCTCGAGTTTAAAACTGCCTCTATCTCAATCATAGCCGTTGCGAGTTCTTCGTAGGTGAGCCTTGTGTTGTCCAGGGTTCTGGTTAAGTGACCTTTGGCCGATTTGACGGCCGCCTCCCACAATCCGCCAAAATGTGGTGCCCTAGGGGGAATAAATCGAAAATTAATAAATTGATTCGAGCAATAATTTGTAATAAAATTTGAATTTTTTGGCTCAAAAAGGAACGACTTTAATTGAGCCAACTTAGAGTTTGCACCAACGAAATTTGTTGCATTATCACAGAATATATCTGTGGGCAGACCTCTACGACCAATCATCCGTTTTAGGGCAGCAATGAAGGCATCTGTTGACAGGTCGGATACCACTTCAATATGGACAGCTTTGGTAGCGAGACAAACAAATATAGCGATGTATGTCTTGTAGGGGACCTTTCCTCTAATTCTTAGGTAGGTGTTGACTGGACCACAAAAATCGACAGCACACCTTGCGAAGGGCCTTGACGGGTTGAGTCGTTCCACAGGCAAATTTCTCATCATTTGTTGCAACAACTTTGGGCGATAGCGAATGCATTGAGGGCACGAATTTACAATGCTGCGACACAAATTCCTGGAGTTGATGATCCAAAATTGTTGGCGAATCAATGACATTAGAGCCTTGGGTCCAGCGTGGTAGTTACTGATGTGCAGATGACGTACGTAACAGTAGACGAAATGGCATTTGCTGGGCAAGATTGTGGGGTGTTTTTGGCCTTCAGAAATTGCCGCGTACTCCAAGCGTCCGCCGACCTTGAGCAAGTTGAAACCATTTGACGAATCTAGGAAGGGGTTCAGACACTTTAGAGCACCTTGGGGATCTTTCTTCTTTAGAGCTCGAGTTATGTCATCTTGAAAATGTAGTTTCTGGATGTTGAAAACGATACAAAGTTTAGCATTTTCTATTTCTTGGGGCTGCAAAGAGTCAGAATTGGAAATATTAGTTTTTGTTTTTTGAGCAAAACGAAACATCCAGGCAATAATACGAATGATTTTTAAGTACGAGCTATATTTTCCATAAGAATCGAGGATGTAGTTAGATTTTGTTTCAAGATGAAGTACGGTTTTCCGTTTTTCTTTGTCGAATACTTGCTGATTTTCTTCGGAGAGTTTATCAGTTTTAGTAGGGAGCCACTGAACAGGATCGAGAGCGAGAAATGCTGGTCCGTTGAACCAGATGGATGAGGCGAGTTCCTGCACAGTTGAACCACGAGAAACGATGTCAGCAGGGTTGAACTGGGTTGGGACATGTCGCCAAACGCAGCCATTAGTTAGATCTTGAATTTCTGATACCCTATTGCCAACAAAAACTGACAAAGTAGATGAATGTTGCTTTAGTCAGTGAAGAACTAGTTGCGAATCTGTCCATAGAACGACTTCCAGATTTGGTATTGCGAAAAGATTTTTGATTTTGGAATACAATTTTGCTAGAAGTTGTGCGCCACATAACTCAAGTTTGGGTAACGATTTTCGCTTTGTAGGAGCAACTCTAGATTTGGCAGTAAAGAGCCGAACAACAACATTTCCTGAAGAAGTTTTAACACGAAAGTAAAAACAACAACCATAAGCACGAATTGATGAGTCACAAAAGCCATGAAGTTGAACTGATATAGAATCAGGAGCGAGACAAAAACGAGGAATTTTAAGTGAAGGTAATAGTTTGAGATCAGAGACGAAAGATTTCCAAGCCGAGTGTATTTCTTGAGGTACAGACTCATCCCAGCCAATTTTTAGAATCCACAACTCTTGCATGATGATTTTAGCTTTTATTATGAGAGGGGATAAAAGTCCTAGGGGATCAAAAAGCGCTGACGAGAGCGACAAAATTGTACGTTTGGTTATTTTTTCATCAATTTGGACTTTAGGCGAAAACAAAAATAAGAAAACATCTTTTTGTTGGTCCCAAGAGATACCAAGAGCGCTAGTTACTGCAGAATCTTCAATATTAAGGTCTTTGACAGTTTTGTCGTCCTGAAAATCTCTATGATTAGAGTGCCACTTATCTAATTGAAACGAACCACGAATTAGAATTTCATTAACCTCCTGCTTCATACGAGACAATTCTTCAAGCGTATCTGAGCCACAAAGAAAATCATCAACGTAAAATGATGACTTAATGGTTTTTGCACCAAGTTCGAATTGGTCCATGTATTGGTCTGCGAGATAGTGAAGGCTTTTGATGGCAAGGTAGGGCGCAGCTGACATTCCATAGGTGACTGTATTTAGGTGATATGTTCGAATTTCTTCCTCTTCTGAATTTCTCCACAAAATATATTGGAATTTTCTATCTTGGGAGTCAATAAGGACTTGTCGATACATTTTTACTATATCGGCAGTAAGAGCGAAGCGATGAAGACGGAACCGAAGTAAAATTTTATACAGCTCATCTTGAATTGTTGGGCCAACCATAAGAAGATCATTGAGAGACTTCTGGGACGATGATGGACACGAGGCATCGAAAACAACTCTTAACTTTGTGGAAGTGCTACTTGGTTTGAAAACGCAATGGTGAGGGATGAAATAATGAAGCTCGTGTAGACGAGGGCTACGAACTAGACTCATATGTCCAAAATCTTCATACTCCTTCATAAAAGCAACATATTGTGATTTAAGATTGCTGTCACGAGCAAATCGTCTCTCTTGAGATACAAATCTTTTAAGAGCCATATTTCGAGAAAGACCTAAAGCGTCAGGAGATTCCTTGAAGGGCAATTTAACAACAATCCTACCAGAAGATTCACGATGAACAGTATCATTGAAAAATGTTTCACATTCAGATTGTTCTGGTGTCAAATCATTTGAGCCAGATTGAACTTCATCGATTTCCCACAAGCGATGTAATTTAAGATCAATATCTTCTTCTATCGAGAGCATACAAGAAGAGCCACAAATATTGGGTTGTTTTGATACATAACGACCTGCTACAATCCATCCGAAAAGTGTTTTGTGTAATTTAGGCAAATTAGGGCCAAGTTTTATTTGACCAACTGCTAAAATGTCGAAAAACGTTTCAGTACCAATAAGTAAATCAATTCGTTTTGATTTGAAGAAGTTTTCATCCGCAAGTTCAGTATTTGGGGGCAAATTCCAGGATGAGACATCTAATTCATTATCAGGTTGATATGAAATATGAGGTGTGACACAAAATGAGAGCGAAACTTCAAAATCTGTGACTCGAGATTTTACATTTGTGGACGACCTATATTTAGATTTGCTAAGAGTGTTACCAATGCTAGAGTAGTTTGTTTTGTACGAGACAAATGTAATTTTTGGGAAAATTCATCGGTTATGAAATTCAATTGAGAGCAAGAATCTAACAAAGCGCGTCCCAATTGATAGCGACCAGTGGAGTCACGAACTAGAACCATGGCAGTAGCAAGCAGCACCTGTTCCGGCGAGGATTTTTCCACATGGGTATTGACCGAGGCAGAAGATTCATTCAAGGCAACATGAGAAGTAGTAGGTTCAGCAGCAGGGGACGAGGGCCGAGAAGCTGGCTGAGACCGATGAAGCAAACTATGATGCGAGCGAGAACAAAATTTGCACTTGAATGTGGAGGAACAACTACTTACTTGATGCCCTTTGGACAAACAATTTAGACAAAGGCTTAGACGTTTTGCATTTTCATACCTTTGACTAACATCCATATCTTTGAACCGAGAACAACGACTAATTGAGTGGTCAGATTTGGAGCAAAGCACACAAGAGCGTTTTGATACCGAAAAAGTATAGCCAGGTTTTGAATTTTTAGATTTGGACTTACCAGATTGATGATCAGGCTTACGAGGGGCCACAAAAGTATGGTTGGTATCAACCGATTCCAAAAATTGACAACGCCTTTCAAGGACCTTGGAGCAATCATCCCATGTTGGCAATCTGGTAAAGTCCAAGGAATCTTTCCACTTTCTTCTGGTATCTTCATCCACTTTTTCCATCACTATGTAAATCAGCATGGAATTAGCAATATCACTATGTGAGCCAAGAGACAGTAAGGAACTATAAAGGGCAGAAACATTATCGACGAGACTTCGTAATTGGGCACAATTGTATTTGGACATGGCAGGAAGTTCAAAAAGGGCGGTAATATTTTCCATAAAAATAAGCGAGCTATTATCATAACGCGTTTTGAGCCTTTCCAGAGCCTTCGGGTAATTTTCGTTCGTAATCTGGAAAGCCCTGACCGTTTCTAGAGCTTGGCCTTGGAGGCAGTTGAGCAAATGATTAAACTTTTCAATATTTGATAGGCCAAACTCACGATCGATAACTTGATTGAACGACGTTATAAAATTCTTGTATTCACTGTACTTACCACTAAATGTGGGCAATTTGAGTTGGGGCAATTTATGGCTGGGAGCTGGGAAACAAATGGTGGACTCGGACAACGTTGTGTTATGAACATCTTCACCAAGCTGCGACTGGATATTCATTTTGGCTGAGATGTACAAATCTTCAATTTCGGGCCTAGCATTATCCTCGGGATCATATTTTTCAATTTGTGTTTGATACGTCAATATCTGTTTAAAATATGACTCCAGTATCCCCAAACGGCACTTCAACTCAGCAGACGAAAGTGTCTTACCTTCACCCCTTCCATTGGCTTCGATTTGGTTCTTGATGCGGGTAATACTCTTCTTCGTATTAGCCCGTTGCTGCTTAACCTCTTCCAAAGTCATCATAAATTTCCAAAAGTTTGGTTAAGTGAGCCAAAAATTTCCAAAAACAAATTTCAAAATGGATGATACTATGTATTGTAGAGCACCGACGCCAAAAGTTTTACGCCAAAAATGTTTATATACAAACTTTATGTATTTATTCACTTTCTATATAAATATGTACCGCAATATTCCGAGCGACAAATTTAGTATACACAAAATTCTATATTATGTACTGGAACCAAAAGCGAACAAATTTATGTATTTTCTTGTATATAAAGATTAGCGGCAAATTTATTTAACCCGAATTACGAGCGAACAAAGTTTATTTATTTTTGTACATAAAAATTTGCGGTAAAATTTTAGAGTCACTTTTATTTATTTTATTTTTCGACAAAAACTGATTCTATTTAGCGAGCCGACAAAATTTGTATAATGTTTGTAATAGGTATTTAAAAAAAATAGATTTGTAGTAGGTACGTCACTACAAATTTGTTTAACAGTTTTTTTTTTTTTGTTATATGTTGCACTGTCTAGTTTTTTTTTTTTAAATGATTTATAATTTTTTTTTGTTGCACAGGTTTTTTTTTATTGAACCACAAAGTTTTTTATTTTTCTTTTTGTAGCACTATATATTGCCCTTGTAATAGAACCACTGTTTCCACTTCACAATATGACCGTACACTTTTTCTTTAAGTTGTACTACAACGAAAAGTTTTTAGAATATACCACGGACCGAGAACGACAAATTTATCAAGATTTAGATTAATCACTTGCCCCACGTTGGGCGCCAAAATGTACGATGAAGAGCTTTTTCTTCACCGGCAACGATATAGAGCAATTCGGTCTACTTTGAATTGTTGTCTATAGGTTGCTGAAATGTTCGATGGGCAGTGATTAATTAACAAACACAAAAGAACTACCGTGGTACCGAGACAAGAATAAAAGATGATGTTGTTCGATTGAATTCAACTATGACAATGATTTATTTATTTAAAAAATTCTTTTCTTAAGCCTAACAATTGATCATGTAAATAAGGGCTACACTGTTGTTATTGTAATATTATTTGTTTCTCACTTCCAATGTACCAACTCAACTTGTTTATTTATATTCAAAATATGCAAAAACAAAATACATGCAATAAGTCTCCAAAATAAGAAATTGCATTTTTAAGAGCAACAACAATATGCTTATACTAAGAATTGGAGTGAGAAACAAATAATAAAAACTAACGGGTCATTACCAAAAATATGTACAGTGGTTAGTATGAACAAAAAATAATGACAAATTACAGTGGCAACAGTAAGCCAAAAATATGAATAAATTTAAATACAATAAAAAATGGAAAATTTAAACAAAACAAAATAATAATGTTAGTAATTATTATACGGTGACCTAACAATATGATGGTTTTAAAAACTTATTTTGTGATCATATTTCTAGCAGATGGAAGATCAAAAATTGTTTCTTATGTAATTGTTTTTGTTTGCAATGGAATAGCAACACTTACACTTAAAAATTACTCAAAAACGATTCAAAAATGAGTCGAAACTGATTAGAAAATACTCCTTTTGAAGAGTTGGCATAAAATTTTGTGTGGCCTAAAATGAGTTGATATAATTCCCATTTCGTTTATAAAATTAAATGTATAAGTATTTCAATTTCTGTCAAGGAATTGAAATTATATTATGCTTTAATTATAATAATTTTATGTGTTTAATGATCTTCTACGGAAGATAGTTGGGTGACTAATCACTAAACTAAGTCTAAATAATTCTTAATTAAAATCTGATTTATTTGAAAAACAATAACAAAATGTACAGCAATCACAAATAGGTCTTCAAGGTGTTCGAAATATGATTGTTTATAAATTTATTTTGTTAGTTACATTTTGAGCAGTCGGAAGATCAAAATGTCTTTTCTGTTGTGTTGTATTTGCCTGTAACAAACATAAAAATTACTCAGAAAAGTTTACAGATTGGTTTTGCACAGTATTGGGCCAAACTGAACTGTTAGGTGGCGCAAAACCTTCGATTATCATCGATTACATATTTAAGGAAATTCTTGGATACTTATGTAAACACTCGAAACGTGCACCTATTGGCAAATAAGCCGATATAACTTCTTAATTTATAACTACCTGATGTTTAGTGCATTTCCTTTAATGAACGCACAAACACTTATAATGTTTCGCATGAATACAATACAAATTACAAATAAACAAACAACATCCAAAATGAAAAACTTAACAACAAAGTTTTCTGTTTGATGTTGTTATTGTTTTTTTTTAATGTTTATAACTTTTCACAAACTACAGTCTTAAAGATTTACGTACGCCAATCCCAATCCATGCAAAGCGAAAACAAACGTCTGTCTGCCCATAAAAAGTGGAACAAACGATCAACGATTGAAGGATGGTGGTGGATGGATAAAAGAGGCATTAACATTTTTATTGTTTTAAAGCCCAGCAATTATGTACGTTTAATTCGCTCTTTTTTTCGCTCCTCCATTTTAATAGTCTTTTGGTTTGTTTGTAAAAACTTTTGCAATTAAATTTTACTCAATATTATTTGTTTTCATGATACTTTCTTTAAAGTTTTCATATGGTTGTTATTGTTCTTGTTGTTGTTGTTATTATTATTATGCTTATAGTCGGTTATGTTTTGTTATGTTATTATGGTTGTTGCTGTTATTGTTATTATTGGCGTTTAAATATTAAGTATACGACTAGTGGCACCACCAGCGGCAATTTGTTTAGTGGTTGCAAGCAGTTTACAAAAACACATACAGTTTTTATTGTTTAACTAAAATAAAAACCATTTATTTTAGTTTTTTTTTTATAAAAATACTAATTTTTTTATAAATATTTAAATAAAAAATCAATAAAATTGTTTGAATGTGTAGCAGAACAACCATTTAAGTTACACATGTTTCAAATAAATACACTATAATAAACATATTTAACAAATTATGTATGCACATGTTTCAAATGTTGCTAAAATAAAATCTAAATAAAATCTACTTCTAACAACAGTGGTGTTTAAAATGTCCCGAATACAAGTGACACTTCAGCCTTTTCGTTACCAAAAAAAAAAAAAAAAAACAAGAAAATGGCAAAAAGAGCAAATTTGTTAGTACAAGACAAGAATAATGCCTTTAATAAAGACAATACAAATGGGATTAACGTTTAATAATTACTAACAGCAGCAGCAGCAGCAAAGACGGAAAAGTAATTAAAAGTTGCAAAACATATGTTGCAGTGTTTTCGTTCTTTTGTTCTTTTATTTAGAAACTTTTTATTTCTCATGGCATTTTTCTGCTTCTTAAAGGCAGAAAAAAAGTAAATTTTTCATTCTTGTCTTGAAAATATTTGTGGGATGAGCAATGTTAACAAATTTAACTTTTAATTTAATTTTAGATTAAAAGCATTATACATCTTACGTATAATTTAACAGTTGGATTATGTAAGTGTTTCATCTTCATCTGCATATCTGCGGCCAAAACACTGACTTTAGTATACTATAGAAAAATTTAAAATATATGAACTTAATTTCACAGAATTTGGATGCAAATTTAAAAAAAAAAAAATTTCAATGTCTTTAAAATAATTGTATTCAAAATTTGTATTTATTATAGTTTTTTTCTTAAACAATGGTTTTTTTCATCATCACCTCCGATTTTAATAAAACTCCACGGTTGAATGTTCCAAAATTTGGAATTTATAACTTCGTGAAGAATTTAAAATATCATACAATCTAAAGGGTTAATAAAATAATTACTCTTTTGCACCATTTAAAATTTAAAATATTGATAGCTTGTACATCTTTTCTCCAATCTGCGTATGGATGTACATAACAGTTTCCCTTGAAAAATTACCCAAATGTTTGCATTAATGACAAAGTTGTTCATAAAATATTTGACGATTCTAGCTCTAGTAGTTTCCTAGATATAGGAATTAATTGTTCTTAATTCGTATGGGAGGTGTCACGCCAACTATTGCTGGTCCGGCTATATTTTCTTCAAATTGTTCATAAGCATTTCTCCTGTAAAATCTAATGACTTTAACTCAAATAGTTTCACTAATCTTATTTCGGCCATTTTTGGCCCAAACTTTTCATACACAGAAAAAAATATGCACAATTTTTTTCTTAACAATCGTTTGCTTAAATTTAATTTCGATTTTTATAAATATTTTTATTTGGGTTTATAACGAATTTGTTTGATGTTCACACAGAAGGAAAATATTTTCTAACAAACACTTTATTGAAATAAATTTAACTTTCAGTAAATATTTTTACTGATTCAATAAATGTTTTTGTTTGAGTTTTATTTTTATGTCAGCATATGGAATACAACAATAAAACCAGTTTTGGAATGTACTAAAATGAATTGATATAATTCTTATTTGGTTTATAACATTTAATGTATAAGTGTTTCAGTTTTCACAGTACAAAATAATAGTTTCTAGAATTAGAAACGTTTTCTTAAAAATGTTGTAAGTATATATGTAATTTTTTTACTACTTTTAGTTTTAAATATTTTTTGTAAAATTTTTGTTAAAATTTAGTATATATTTTTTAACAAAATTTTTATAGATTCAATAAAAAATTTTCTTATTATTATTGCCAAAATACAATAAATAATTTAACTGTTTCAGATAACATATTTGCTTGAATTTCAGTACAAATACTAATAACTTGTGTTATTGTTTCAGTAAAATAATTGTTTGGAAATGTTGCGATTATTTATTAATGTTTTTCGTAAATAGTATATTATTTTAATAAGAAAAATCCTGAAATTTTTTCAATAAAGAATTTACGAATTTGAGTACTTGATTTTACGAATTTCGTGATAGGTCCTATTTTAGTAAAAAAATACTTGGCTTTATGAATTTTTTGTTTGATTTTGAATTCCATTTTTTTTCTGTGTATGGGAGGTACTACGCCTCTTACTGCTAGTCCGCCCATTTTTGTCTAAAATATTCATATTGACACCAAAGTGGCTCCGATAAAGTTATAAGACTCTAACTGTTATATTTTCTCATATAGTAATTTAACATTTTTATATGGGAGGTACCAGACCCACTGCAGCCAGTCCCATCCATTTTGTCCACAAATATTCGGAGGGATGTCAAAGTTTTCTATACAAAATTTGACCACTCTCGTTGTTACAGCCTTCTAGATATACAGATTTTAACATTTTCTTCATATGAAAGTTACCACGCCCCGTAATGCTGGATGTCCCATTTTTATCAAAAATATTCCTTAGATATTCGTACCTAATTTCCTGAATCAATATTTCTATGTGTCAAAATAGAGCCATATTTTTGATTGAGGATATAAATAAATTTATCGTCTAATAATCGTTTTCATACAGAACAAGTGAGAGAGCCGAATCTCATATACCCACCATCAAACCGTATGCCATAAAAGGAATGCTCCCCTAACA